AACTGACCTGGTAGCCTCGTCTAGTATGAGGATGGATGGGATTTTCAGTAGAGCGCGGGCGATAGCTATCCTCTGTTTCTGGCCCCCAGACACGGTAACTCCTCTCTCCCCCAGAATGGTACTGTAGCCATCAGGGAACTGTCGGATAAAACTGTCAGCATTGGCCAGCCCAGCAGCCTCGTACACCTGTGACAAAGATTAATTAAATTAGTAATACCAAACTAGTGACGGGTAATACAAACAAAGTAACATAGAATCAAACCAGCTACCTTCTGATTACAGCAGTACTATAATCACTCAACCACCAAGCTGACATAAAAACTTTTACTCATACCAGTACTCATAACGTTTTTAATGTGTTACATTTTAACAAGTTACCTTTAAGCATGTTACATTTTAAAAGGTTACAATTTTACATGTTACATTTTTACATGTTACATTTTAATATGTTACATTTTAACACGTTACATTTAAGCATGTTACATTTTAAAATGTTACATTTTAACACGTTACATTTTAACTTCTTATATTTCCACATGTTACATTTTTACATGTTACATTTTAACATGTTTTACGATCAAGTCATTCCCTTGCAACTGACCTGGTAGCCTCGTCTAGTATGAGGATGGATGGGATTTTCAGTAGAGCGCTAAGAGCGCTTGTAGCGGCGATAGCTATCCTCTGTTTCTGGCCCCCAGACACGGTAACTCCTCTCTCCCCCAGAATGGTACTGTAGCCATCAGGGAACTGTCGGATAAAACTGTCAGCATTGGCCAGCCCAGCAGCCTCGTACACCTGTGACAAAGATTAATTAAATTAGTAATACCAAACTAGTGACAGGTAATACAAACAAAGTAACATAGAATCAAACCAGCTACCTTCTGATTACAAGGCGAGTACAGCAGTACTATAATCACTCAACCACCAAGCTGACATAAAAACCGTCGTCGTCGTCGTCGTCGTCGTCGTCGTCGTCGTCGTCGTCGTCGTCGTCGTCGTCGTCGTCGTCGTCGTCGTCGTCGTCGTCGTCGTCGTCGTCGTCGTCGTCGTCGTCGTCGTCGTCGTCGTCGTCGTCGTCGTCGTCGTCGTCGTCGTCGTCGTCGTCGTCGTCGTCGTCGTCGTCGTCGTCGTCGTCGTCGTCGTCGTCGTCGTCGTCGTCGTCGTCGTCGTCGTCGTCGTCGTCGTCGTCGTCGTCGTCGTCGTCGTCGTCGTCGTCGTCGTCGTCGTCGTCGTCGTCGTCGTCGTCGTCGTCGTCGTCGTCGTCGTCGTCGTCGTCGTCGTCGTCGTCGTCGTCGTCGTCGTCGTCGTCGTCGTCGTCGTCGTCGTCGTCGTCGTCGTCGTCGTCGTCGTCGTCGTCGTCGTCGTCGTCGTCGTCGTCGTCGTCGTCGTCGTCGTCGTCGTCGTCGTCGTCGTCGTCGTCGTCGTCGTCGTCGTCGTCGTCGTCGTCGTCGTCGTCGTCGTCGTCGTCGTCGTCGTCGTCGTCGTCGTCGTCGTCGTCGTCGTCGTCGTCGTCGTCGTCGTCGTCGTCGTCGTCGTCGTCGTCGTCGTCGTCGTCGTCGTCGTCGTCGTCGTCGTCGTCGTCGTCGTCGTCGTCGTCGTCGTCGTCGTCGTCGTCGTCGTCGTCGTCGTCGTCGTCGTCGTCGTCGTCGTCGTCGTCGTCGTCGTCGTCGTCGTCGTCGTCGTCGTCGTCGTCGTCGTCGTCGTCGTCGTCGTCGTCGTCGTCGTCGTCGTCGTCGTCGTCGTCGTCGTCGTCGTCGTCGTCGTCGTCGTCGTCGTCGTCGTCGTCGTCGTCGTCGTCGTCGTCGTCGTCGTCGTCGTCGTCGTCGTCGTCGTCGTCGTCGTCGTCGTCGTCGTCGTCGTCGTCGTCGTCGTCGTCGTCGTCGTCGTCGTCGTCGTCGTCGTCGTCGTCGTCGTCGTCGTCGTCGTCGTCGTCGTCGTCGTCGTCGTCGTCGTCGTCGTCGTCGTCGTCGTCGTCGTCGTCGTCGTCGTCGTCGTCGTCGTCGTCGTCTACATTTTTACATTTTACATATTTACATGTTACATTTTAACATTTTTTATGATCAAGTCTTTCCCTTGCAACTGACCTGGTAGCCTCGTCTAGTATGAGGATGGATGGGATTTTCAGTAGAGCGCGGGCGATAGCTATCCTCTGTTTCTGGCCCCCAGACACGGTAACTCCTCTCTCCCCCAGAATGGTACTGTAGCCATCAGGGAACTGTCGGATAAAACTGTCAGCATTGGCCAGCCCAGCAGCCTCGTACACCTGTGACAAAGATTAATTAAATTAGTAATACCAAACTAGTGACAGGTAATACAAACAAAGTAACATAGAATCAAACCAGCTACCTTCTGATTACAAGGCGAGTACAGCAGTACTATAATCACTCAACCACCAAGCTGACATAAAAACTTTTACTCATACCAGTACTCATAACGTTTTTAATGTGTTACATTTTAACAAGTTACCTTTAAGCATGTTACATTTTAAAAGGTTACAATTTTACATGTTACATTTTTACATGTTACATTTTAATATGTTACATTTTAACACGTTACATTTAAGCATGTTACATTTTAAAATGTTACATTTTAACATGTTACATTTTAACTTCTTATATTTCATCATGTTACATTTTTACATGTTACATTTTAACATGTTTTACGATCAAGTCATTCCCTTGCAACTGACCTGGTAGCCTCGTCTAGTATGAGGATGGATGGGATTTTCAGTAGAGCGCTAAGAGCGCTTGTAGCGGCGATAGCTATCCTCTGTTTCTGGCCCCCAGACACGGTAACTCCTCTCCCCCCCAGAATGGTACTGTAGCCATCAGGGAACTGTCGGATAAAACTGTCAGCATTGGCCAGCCCAGCAGCCTCGTACACCTGTGACAAAGATTAATTAAATTAGTAATACCAAACTAGTGACAGGTAATACAAACAAAGTAACATAGAATCAAACCAGCTACCTTCTGATTACAAGGCGAGTACAGCAGTACTATAATCACTCAACCACCAAGCTGACATAAAAACCGTCGTCGTCGTCGTCGTCGTCGTCGTCGTCGTCGTCGTCGTCGTCGTCGTCGTCGTCGTCGTCGTCGTCGTCGTCGTCGTCGTCGTCGTCGTCGTCGTCGTCGTCGTCGTCGTCGTCGTCGTCGTCGTCGTCGTCGTCGTCGTCGTCGTCGTCGTCGTCGTCGTCGTCGTCGTCGTCGTCGTCGTCGTCGTCGTCGTCGTCGTCGTCGTCGTCGTCGTCGTCGTCGTCGTCGTCGTCGTCGTCGTCGTCGTCGTCGTCGTCGTCGTCGTCGTCGTCGTCGTCGTCGTCGTCGTCGTCGTCGTCGTCGTCGTCGTCGTCGTCGTCGTCGTCGTCGTCGTCGTCGTCGTCGTCGTCGTCGTCGTCGTCGTCGTCGTCGTCGTCGTCGTCGTCGTCGTCGTCGTCGTCGTCGTCGTCGTCGTCGTCGTCGTCGTCGTCGTCGTCGTCGTCGTCGTCGTCGTCGTCGTCGTCGTCGTCGTCGTCGTCGTCGTCGTCGTCGTCGTCGTCGTCGTCGTCGTCGTCGTCGTCGTCGTCGTCGTCGCCGCCGCCGCCGTCGCCGTCGTCGTCGTCGTCGTCGTCGTCGTCGTCGTCGTCGTCGTCGTCGTCGTCGTCGTCGTCGTCGTCGTCGTCGTCGTCGTCGTCGTCGTCGTCGTCGTCGTCGTCGTCGTCGTCGTCGTCGTCGTCGTCGTCGTCGTCGTCGTCGTCGTCGTCGTCGTCGTCGTCGTCGTCGTCGTCGTCGTCGTCTACATTTTTACATTTTACATATTTACATGTTACATTTTAACATTTTTTATGATCAAGTCTTTCCCTTGCAACTGACCTGGTAGCCT